TCAAACCCTGCCAGCTTCGTGCAGTGGGGACAGGAGAATCACTCAGACACCCCCTACCAGGGAGTTGGGACAGGATATAGACCAGGTCCTCACTGCCCCCGTTACTGGGACCCCAGGAGGGCATGGTGGGGATGCGGGCAGGGGTTTAGGACCAGGCCTTCACGACTGTGGTGGTGGGCAGTCGTCAGATGGGGACATCCCTGCTGGGCACTAAGTGGAAGCTGGCGGGTCATGGCCACTGGGTCCCAGGGGTGGAGAACTGTGACAAGGCTCCTACTGTACTCCGCACGTATTTGTTTTCGTGTTTCTGTCCATCTCGCCTCCAGACTGTGAGCTCCTGAGGGCAGGGATCACCCGGAGAGCCCAAGAGGTCTCACATGGCTCCTGCCCAGGGCAAGTGCTCGGGTACAGCTGCTAAACAAATCGATGAGATGATCTTTGAGCCCCTCCGCGCCTCTGAGCAGCTCACATTGTAGGGTTGGATGCTGGTAATAGGACGTCATATTGGGTCGAAGGCAGGAAGGGGCCAGAATGACCTTAGGGGCTCTTCAGGGACTCCAGTTCTCCATTGAGCACGGTGGGCACTGCCGCCCTCTGGTGGTCAGCGCTAGCTCTGCAGCCCCCGGCAGGAAACCCAGAAACCAAACACCCTCCTTCCTATGTCCTCAAGGCAGTGGGGCTCCTGGGTCAAGGGGAGCAAAGGGGCGCACCTACAGTTTCCAGGGGCAATGAGAGGAACCTCAGATGACTTCCTTGCACCTTTCCCTCCAGTAGCCCTGGGATGCCCTCCTAAATTTTGGATTCGTAATTTTTTTTCTCTCACCAGGCCTCCTCACCACAGCCAGGAGAGTGACTCCGACTCCACCTGCACACGAGGAGCTGGAGGCCCCAGCAAGGACAGTCTCATCCCTGGACCCTGGCCGGATTCTGGTTCAGTGCCATGTTCTGCCCTACCCCTGGTCCTCAGTCATCCAAGCCTACGCGCTGCTCTTCTCGGAAGGGCCTCCAGGGAGTACAAAGCATTGTCCAGGGGCTTTGGTGGGCACTGGGTCACTGGTACATAATCAAAGCCATCCTTGGTCTTGTCAATTCTTCCCCAAGCATTTGGAACCTGTGGGGTGACTAAGATTCTTTGCTGGGCCAAACTGTAGTCAGGCTCCTGGAACTTCTCCTAGGCCTATATGTGCACTTCCTTGTAAAATCCAGACATAGCAAAGAACCTTGTTAAATCATTTTAGCAAGAACCCCCACTCTCCATATCTAATAACCCTCTATGTCTGATCTGGCTTCTCATCCCCCATCCCCTAGGTGATGTCTGATTGCCCTGGTCTGTCTTCAGCAAGAATTCTGTTAGGTCAATTTAGCCAGTAGTTCCTTCACCCCTGATGTTTCCTCTTAGTAATTTTCCATCCACTAACCCCCATTCTGGTCCTTGGCTATAGATCCCCACATGTCTATGCTGTATTTGGAGTTGAGCTCAATCTCTCTCCTCAACTGCAAGACCCCGTTGCAGCCAGCCCTACACCAAGGATGATGGTCCTGCATACAGTCTGCCTTACAGTACTTCAACGAGTAAAACAAATAAACAAACAGAGAAATGGAGGTGCAAAAGGCCAGGCACATTTTATAACAAATTTAAAATTTGGGAAAGTATCAGTCCTGATGGCTTTCATTTAATGATACCAACCAAAGTGACATAGCATCATCAAAGTATTTTCCAAGAAAAGAGCAAAGTCCTATAATACATATCCTATTTTACTATTTCTCCTAACAGTTGCAAGAATAATGTCAGCAAGTCATTTCAGAGTGACAGCTGTGGAAAGAAGACAAGTGAGCTATATTTTCAATGATTTGTATTTATATGTTAATGAGGAAATAAGATTATATGTATGTTTTAAAAGAAAGGTAAGTATCAGTTCGAAGAAAATGTTTTCTTACTCAAGAGTTTTCTCAAGGCCCCTTTTATGTCTTTATTTCTCAGGCTATAAATGAAAGGGTTCAGCATGGGAGTGACCACCGTGTACATCACTGAAGCAATTATGTTTTTGTCGTTGGTGTTGCTGGATGAGGGAAGAAAATAGAGCCCGATAATTGCCCCATAATAGAGAGTCAGCACTGAGAGGTGGGATCCACAAGTGGACAAGGCTTTGCAGATGCCCGTGGTAGAGGGAACCTGGAGGATGGTGGCCCCAATATAACCATAAGAAACCAGGATGCACAGGAATGGAAGCATAATGGCTGCCAATCCTGCAGTAAAAATTACCAATTGGTTGAGGGAGGTGTCTGAGCAGGACAACTTGAGCAGGGCACTGAGGTCACAGAAGAAGTGGGGGATGATGTGGTCAGTACAGAAGGAAAGCCGAGCCAGGAGGAGGGTGTGCAACAGAGCACAAGCACAAGCAATGACCCAGGACAAAGCCACCAGCATGATACAAAGGCTCTGGCACAGGAAGGTGGTATAACGTAGAGGATGACAGATGGCCACGTACCTGTCATAGGCCATGGAAGTGATAAGGAAATTGTCCAAGTCAGCAAACAATATGAAAAAGTATGTCTGTGAAATGCACGCCTCATAGGGGATGGATGGATGCTGAGTCTGCATGTTCGTGAGCATCTTTGGGACAGTGACAGATGAAAAGGAGACGTCAGTGAGGGCCAGGTGGCTGAGGAAGAAGTACATGGGCGTGTGGAGGCGAGAGTCCAGCCTGATGAGCAGGACGATGAGCAGGTTCCCCAGCACCGTGGTCAGGTACATGCCCAGAAACAGGGTGAAGAACACGCCGTGCTGCTCTGGCCGGATGGGGAGCCCCAGGAGGAGGAACTGGGACACGCTGCTCTGGTTCTCAGGCCGCATACTTGTATATCAGCTGGGTGGGACTCGTGGGGACAGTTAAACGAAAAAAGTAGAAAGTCTTGGAATAAGAA